GCCTTGTAGACCTCTCAAAATAACCCTGGCGTGGGGTATCAGGCCTATATGATGAATTTTTAAAACTCATCGAGGATATCTTGTTTTGTCTAAATATGAAGGTCTTACACTTATCTGTCTTCTTCGGTTCATCGTTGTTTCCTTCGTCACTGGTGCATTTTCCTTCCTCTGTGTTCAATTCTTTTTTCTCGTCTTTCTCATCAATCTTCTTGTACCAAAATATAACTCTCCCATTCATAGAGGTCCAAGACCTTCCACAATCCTTACAGAAAAACTTGACTTTGGCGCTATCCTTATATTGTCCCCAGTCCTTTGGCATTCGTCGGTCGGTTGGCTCCAGTGTCCACTCGTCGGGACTGAAGTCCTTGAAGATATCATCAAAGGTTGTGTGCCAGAATGCACTTGTGACCAGCTGGGAAGCCATTCCGGACGTTGTGGACAATTTACGAAGTAACGCAGGATTGCTTTTCTTCTCTGAAAAAAGATGAGTTGATTTTCAGAACTGTTAACGGTCTTTTGAAAAAAAGAAAAAAAAAACATGAGAAATGAATGGAAATAAATACTATGTCTAGTTTCTCGTTTTATTTCTATAGCAGTTTGTCTAATTTTCACGGCTTTTGCAACTGGCTCTACACCAATCCTAACTTCTGCAATCGAGACAGTTATTCCGTTGATAATTTACATGTATCAGTAAATTTTGTACTCATGCCCTTTTCCAACAGTGGTTGATATTGCACTTCCAGTCTCAAGGTTCTCATGTAAACTGAAGATTTTAAGTATTTGACTGTGTCCTTGTACTTATCTTATCCCTGATCGATATTATTTTTCTTTAAAGGAACTTACATTCATGATTTAGCTAAGATTAAAAGAAACAAATTTTCCGCTGAAACATATCTTGCTGCCCGATTGAGCTTGGGTCATAAATAATTAATAATTAGGTTATGACTACATCGAACCTGTGTACAACTCAAATAAAGACTTTAACATTAGGATCTCAACCAAGAAAATCAGCCCAAAGATTTATATATATCAGCTATCTCTGTGATCCACGGAATTACGGGTTTCGATTTATTTCTTACCTTGTTACGTTAGGTTTCGGTTTCTTCCGGTTGAGAACGTTGATGCTGGAGCCCTTCAAAACCAGTCGGCTAAGCACAAATTTACTTGGTTAATTCAAATGAATTTTTACCTGAATTTGCTATAGACAATAGAAAGGTTTTTTTCACTTGTTGTATTGTAGCTACTGCTCCAGTTCGTTGAGTCATAGCTATGATATTAGCCGAGAACGATGGTGTTATTTATACAAGTTCGATTTCCGGTTACTAAGAAAAGCTCTGATTACGGGAAAACACCGCTGGGTTTTTTCCCCAGTCTCTTCTCTATTTAGACGTGTAATAACAGTGGGGAATTGTAAAACACATCTGATTGGTCAATGGCTTATAGGAAGGAGTGCCGTGGCGAAAATGCATATTCCTAGATAGCAATGTACCACTTCCGGTTACAAATTCAAATATGGACAAATCACTAATTAATTCGGTTTTGTTAGGCAAATATTGACAATTTTATCCGTTGTAAAGAAGATAGCATAATTCACCAAAAGCTCTCTTTAATTGAGACATGTTTGAGAGGTCTTCGCTCAGAAGGGTGTCGTAAAAGGAATAAGGCAAGAGGTGAAACATTCAACTCACCCTCTCCACGGAACCTAACAGATACTTTGGAAAAAAAATATTGAAAATTGCCTCGTTTTCATGCTAATTGTGAAGTCAAGCTTGATTTTCCGAGAAAGCAAGTAGCCTTTTCCGGGTAG